CCCCCCCCCCCCACTGCCCCCCAAATAAAAAAGGCACTGTGAGATGTGCAGGAAGCCCTGGAGCTGGGGAGGATGGTGGTTCAGGGTGGGGGGCTGCAGCAGATTGGGGGGGGGTCAGGGTGGTCCAGCTGTGTCCTGAACACCAACTGCTGCAGAGCGGCTGCTGTCGGAGCTGGAGCTGTTCTGGGGGCTGAGGGGGTCCAGGGGCTTTTCTGGGGGTTTGGGGGGGGGCAGATCGGCCTGGAACAGCCCGGGATTCCCCTTTCTGTGGGCCTCCAGGGGCTGCGGTGTGCGCACAAAGGCGGACAGGGATGGGCGCGGGGCCACGGATGCGGCGGGGGCCGAAGGACGGCTGGGAAGCGGGGCACTGGGGCGCAGCCAGGAGCGGGGACAGCGGCAGTTCCGGGAATGGGGACAGGGATGCGGCCAAAACGAGGACAGTGACCCGGTTCAAACGGGGACCGGGGCGTGGCCGAGGATGGGGACGGGGATATGGATGGGGATTGGGGCGCTGTCACGGCTGGGACAGCGATGTGGTTGGAAACGGGGGCCGGGATGGGGATGGGAACGGGGACACAACCAAAGTCAGGGGCCGGGGATGGGGTCAGTGCCACAGCTGAGATCCGGAGCGCTGTGGCACAGCTGGGAACGGGGAGCAGGGCGCGGTTGGGGCCGATGGCACTGAAGGGGACGGGGTCCGGGGATGGGGACACGGACGGGGACGGAGGTGGGGGAGCAGGGATGGGGACGTGGGAGCGGAGCGCGGTGCGGAACGGAGCATGGAGCGGCGATGGAGCGGCGATGGAGCGGCGATGGAGCGGTGATGGAGCGGCGGTGGCGGCGGTCCCCTCCGCATCCCCCGTCCCCCCCCGCCCCGCCCCGCCCGCCCTTTGTCTGCGGCTCCGGTGGGGCGGGGGGAGCCATTACCTCATCCCCGCACACCAATGGCCGCCGCCGGGGCCTCCTCCCCCCGCCCGGCTCCGCTCCGCCCCGGCGGCCCTATAAAGCTCCGTTCCGCCGCCCGGCTCCGCCGCGTCTCTTACATCGACTGCCTCAGCGTCGTGCTGTGAGAAAGCCCCGGAGCGAGCAGCCGCCATGGTGAGCACCGAGGGGGGGCAGCGGGGTCGGGCTCTGCTCACCTTCCCCCCCATTCCCTTCCTTTTGTTCCTTTTTTTCGTTTTTTTCCCTTTTTTGGTTCTTTTTCCTCCTCCTTTGCCTCCGCGGAGCCCATCATGAGGTCACCGCAAGGGGCTTCGCGGACAAAACGCGGCCCCGCCCGGTGCGCGGGGGGGATGGAGGCCCCTCTGTCGGTGCGGTCCCCGTTAAACCGCATCGTGTCCCGTTAATCCGGGCAGATGGGGCCTCGGTGCCGCGTCAGCTTCGGGTGTGGTCCCCGTTAAATCATGGGGGGGGGTACCCTCGATCGAGGAGGAATGGGGCTCCCTCTGTAGCGACTCTGCAGAGGCTGTAGCCCCCCGTTAAATGGGGTTGGGGGCCGTTAGGATCCGTTACGTGGGGTAAAATGAGCCCCGGTGCCGAGTCAGCAAAGGGCGTGGCCCCCGTTAAACCAAGACGGGGAACACCGGGTCCCTTTAAACAGGCTGAGATGGGACCCCCCGGTACCGGCTCCGCGCTGGGCGTGGCTCCCGGTTAACGGAGCACAATGGGAGCCCCGTTCTCCGGTTCTGAGCCCGTAAGGGCGTGGTCCCGGTCCGATAGAGCAGAATAACGCAGAGGCTCCACCGGGTGGGGCGATGGTTCAACTGGGACCCTCCCCCCCCCCCCCAACCACCCCCGGCAGAATCGAGTGCCGGTGCGGAGCCCCCAGCCTTCAGCCTCCTGTCCCCAGAGGGCAGGGCGTGGCCCCGGCCCCACGGGCAGCGTGGGATCCATTGCTGAGCCCCCAACCCGCGGTGGGTGGGGTTACAGAGCTGCATGGAGCCCCCCGGTGCCGAGCCCCCCATCGGGGTGTGGCGGCGCCGCAGCCCAGAACAATGGGCTGCGATGGGGTCGATGCAGCCTTGGCGGTGCGGCGCTGTTCCAGCCGCTAGAGGGCGCGCTTCTGAGCCCACCCGAATGAACGGCATTGGATCGGGGATGGGGGGGGGGGGGGAACTCACATCGCTGAGCCGGGGGGTGACGCTGCCCCATGTCCACCCCGCAGCGTGAGTGCATCTCCATCCACGTGGGCCAAGCGGGCGTGCAGATCGGCAATGCCTGCTGGGAGCTGTACTGCCTGGAGCACGGCATCCAGCCCGACGGGCAGATGCCCAGCGACAAAACCATCGGCGGGGGGGACGACTCCTTCAACACCTTCTTCAGTGAGACGGGGGCTGGCAAGCACGTGCCCCGTGCCGTCTTTGTGGACCTGGAGCCCACTGTGATCGGTGAGCGGGGCGGGCTGGGGGCTGGGGGGGCTGAGGGGGGGCCGTGGCGGTGCTGATGGCGCTCGCGGTGCCCGCAGATGAGGTGCGCACGGGGACGTACCGGCAGCTCTTCCACCCCGAGCAGCTGATCACGGGCAAGGAGGATGCGGCCAACAACTACGCCCGGGGGCACTACACCATCGGCAAGGAGATCATCGACCTGGTGCTGGACCGCATCCGCAAGCTGGTGGGTACGGCGCGTCGTTGGGGCCCCCAGGCAGCGGGAGCGTGGGGCGGCGCGGAGCTGTGCTGCGGGGCTCCGGGAGCGTGGGACCCCCTCCTATGGGACCCCCTCCTCCTCCTGGGGTCAGCGGGGCTGGGTGGGTGGTGTGGTGAGGACAAAGGCTCTGTTCCTCTGTCTCGCCCTCCCTTCCAGACCCAGCCAGGCTGGATTTAGATTGAATATATTAATTAATGGTAATCCTGTTGTGCAGGCTGCCATTGGCTGGCAGCGTGCCGCGGTGCAGCTGCGGTGTTGGAGCTGCTCCACAGCGCCGCATCCCCCGGCATTGCTGAGCTGTGCAATTCCTCCTTTGTTCCCCTGCCTCCAGCCCTGGCTGCAGCCACATCCAGCTGCACTTAGAGGGGTTGGGAACCCCAGGGGTTGTGGGGGTGGAGGCAGAGCCGTGGGCTCCCACTCCCGTCCCGACAGTGTGGCCAAGACCTCAGCGCAATCTGCTCCCCGTGCACCCACCCATGGGTGGGGGAAGCTGAAGGCATCTGCCCTCCACCCATGAGTGCCTCTGTGCCCATGGGGCTTCCCTAGGGGATCCGTGTTTCAAGTGCTGACTAATGGTGGATGGAGGTAACCCTCACCCTGTCCTGCTACTGGAAATCCCCCCCAAAGTGTCCTCTAGAGGACGTAAAGAGGAAGGACCAAGTTCTGCAGCTGTCCAGAGTGAACAAGACACCACTGTGGTGCTTTCCCCCAGTCTGCCCAGTGCCACCACCGCACAGGCTGTGTCCCCCAAAGGGATCCACGCCTCAAGGGGGCAGATTGCAACGGCTGGTGCCCCATCACCCTGGTGCCTCCTACCCCCAGAGACCCCCAAAAGCAGCACCTCCAGAATGTCCTCACGAGGCCACGAGAGGAAGGGCCGAGCTGCGCAGCTGCCTGGATCCCACCTGACCCCTTCTTGTGTCCCCGCAGGCTGACCAGTGCACGGGGCTGCAGGGCTTCCTGGTGTTCCACAGCTTCGGGGGCGGCACCGGCTCCGGCTTCACCTCGCTGCTGATGGAGCGGCTGTCGGTCGACTACGGCAAGAAGTCCAAGCTGGAGTTCTCCATCTACCCGGCCCCGCAGGTGTCCACGGCCGTGGTGGAGCCCTACAACTCCATCCTCACCACCCACACCACGCTGGAGCACTCCGACTGCGCCTTCATGGTGGACAACGAGGCCATCTACGACATCTGCCGCAGGAACCTGGACATCGAGCGCCCCACCTACACCAACCTCAACAGGCTGATCGGGCAGATCGTGTCTTCCATCACGGCCTCGCTGCGCTTCGACGGTGCTCTGAACGTCGACCTGACGGAGTTCCAGACCAACCTGGTGCCCTACCCGCGCATCCACTTCCCCCTGGCCACGTACGCCCCGGTGATCTCTGCCGAGAAGGCCTACCACGAGCAGCTGTCGGTGGCCGAGATCACCAACGCGTGCTTCGAGCCGGCCAACCAGATGGTGAAGTGCGACCCGCGGCACGGCAAGTACATGGCGTGCTGCCTGCTGTACCGCGGGGACGTGGTGCCCAAAGATGTCAACGCCGCCATCGCCACCATCAAGACCAAGCGCACCATTCAGTTTGTGGACTGGTGCCCCACCGGCTTCAAGGTGGGCATCAACTACCAGCCGCCCACCGTGGTGCCCGGGGGGGACCTGGCCAAGGTGCAGCGCGCCGTGTGCATGCTGAGCAACACCACGGCCATCGCCGAGGCCTGGGCGCGCCTGGACCACAAGTTCGACCTGATGTACGCCAAGCGAGCCTTTGTGCACTGGTACGTGGGGGAGGGCATGGAGGAGGGGGAGTTCTCGGAGGCCCGGGAGGACATGGCTGCCCTGGAGAAGGATTACGAGGAGGTGGGGGTGGATTCGGTGGAGGGCGAGGGCGAGGAGGAAGGAGAGGAGTACTGAGGGTTCACGCGGTGCTGCTCGCACAGGGAACAATCCTGGTCATCCCCACCCCACCCCTCGGGTCTGTAGCGGTGTGCGCTGCTGTCTGTGCTGTTCTGCTCTGTGGTTCAATGGCAGGTCTGTCGCAGACCCTCCCTTCTTCTCCTGTGTGTCTCAATGAATAAAAAGCTTTCCCTGTCTTAAGCTCTGTGTCTGGTTGTTCTGTGCTGCAATGCTGGCGTGACCCCGTTTTCCCCTTCTCTGTTGGTGGTGCTGCTGGGGGTGGGCTGAGCTCTGCACCCTCAGCCCCAGCTCTGCCCTTGGCCCCCTGTGTGTGGGGCAGAAGATTGGGGGGGGGGGAGTGGGAGGTGCTGGGCTGTGGCCATTCATGAGGTTCTGTGGGAGCCGCACGTTTTTGTGAATGGGAACCATGGCTCCATTCATACCCAGGGGTGGGCAGTCGCAGCCATCCTGGCTCCTGTGGGGGGGGGCTACAAGTTTGTTTTGATAGGGGGGGGGTTTCCTCAGCCCTGTGCTTGGGTTTGTGGAGCTTCATGAGGTTTTTCCACCATCAGATTCGTCTTAGGAATTTTTGCTGACCTTGAGTTGTTTTTCCCCAGCTTGGCAAACTTCAGTGGCTCATTGGGCCACAATGAGCGACTTCCAAAACATGAAATCCAGGGAAAATGTCCTTGCCCATTGGGTGCAAAAGATAAAAGCCGTCTGTTGCGACTGTGGTGCTTCTTGCAAGGCAGGATGAAGAGAAAGCAAGGCTGTTTGCACAGCAAAAAGGGAACGGGATGCTTTAGGAGCAGAGCCCCCAGCACAGGAAGGACGTGGAGCTCTGGGAGCGGGTCCTGAGGTGCTGAGATGAGCAGAGGGCTGGAGCAGCTCTGTGTGAGGAAAGGCTGAGGGAACTGGGCCTGTTGAGCTGGGAGAAGCTGCAGGGGGACCTCATGGTGGCCTTCAGTGCTTGAAGGGAGCGGGAAAACAGGAGGGGGAACGGCTGTGTGTGAGGGGGGGTGGTGATGGGACAAGGGGAAGGGCTTTAAAGTGAGCCGGGGAGGTTTGGGTTGGATGTGAGGAGGAAGTTGTTCACACACAGGGCGCTGGAGCAGGCTGCCCAAGGAGGCTGTGGGAGCCCCATGGTGGCTCTGGGCAGCCTCTGGTTGGCGACCTGCACACAGCAGGGGTTGGGAGCCCCATTACAGCCCGGGGGTTTCCCCCGTGTGCTGGGGGAGCAGCGCTGTGTCTCCGCAGTGCTGAGTGCCCCCACTGTGTCCGCAGCCCCTCGCAGTCCCCATCCCCGGACCCCTTTTGCTGCCCAGACCGGGGCTGCACCGCACTGTGGGGGAGGGGGAGAGGGCAGATCTCCCACCACGCAGTTTGAGGGGGGGAGCTTGGAGCGCGCCACGAGAGTCGGCCAATCAGCGCCGGGGATGGTTTGAATGGCGGCGCGACGGCCAATGGGAGCTCGGTGCGCTAGCGTGCCCCGCCCCTTTTCTATATATAAGAGCGCTCCCAGGGGCTGCAGCCTGGAATTTGGGGGGGTTTTGCGTTGGGCCGGGCAGCCGCAGCCGTTGTGTGTGGTTGGGGGGTGTGCGGAGGATAGGATTATGGGATGGGGAGATGAACGAATGGAGGGAGGGAACACAAATTGGGGGGGGGGGCCGGCCCAAGAGAGCAGGAGGGGTTAGGAGATGGGGAAAAAGAGTTGGAGGTTGGGGGGAATAGGGGCCGGGGTGAAGAATTGGGGAGCAGAAATTGAGGGGGGTCTGTGCAGAGGAGGGGATGGGGGCAATGGGGGAGGAAAGAGTAACAGGGACTGATGGGGTGAAAAGGGGCTGGGGATGGTAGAGAAGGAATTGTGGGGAAAGTGGGGACTCGGAGGAGTGGATGGGGCAGAGCAATGGCTGGGGAGGAAGGAGAGGAGTATTAAACATCCTGCTGTCGCATGTCCACATATGTTTGCCTCAAACACTTTGAGCTTTCTCGTGCTCTGGCCCTGGTTTCTTTCCTTGTTCCAGCTGTCCTGGCTGGGCTTTAACTCCCTGATGTGATCTGTTGCTTTTCCTCGTTTCTGTGCTCGTTCAACGAATAAAAGGCTTTAGGACAAGCTGCTGCTGTGTCACATACAAACGCTTTGTGTCAGCCTGGGCGGCTCGCGGGGCACAGCCGCATGGGAACGGGCTGTCCCCATTGTCTGTGCGCAGTGACACGGCTGCGGGGCTGGCAGCGCTGGCTCTGGCCCTTCCCCTGCTCCTTGGTGAAGGGGGGTGGGCCTTCCCCATCCTGGGGGCCAGAGGCTGTGGGTTCTGTTCTGTGGGATCGAGTCTCAGTGGGGGTTGGGAAGGAGCTTTGCCATTGCCCAGGGGCCCCCTCCGGTGTATGGGGGGAGGGGGGGGTAGGAAGGATTTACGGGCCCCGGGGATTAGCCCTGGCTAAGGGATTAGTGCTGGCGCAGCGGCTCAGCGCCGTTCCCTCCACCCCCCTCCCCCGCCCCCCTCGGCCGAGGCGAGGCCGTCTCCGCACCGCTCCCGGGCCCGGGGGGGTCCCGCGGGGCTGGAGGGGCACCGGGGGCATCAAGGAACGCGTTGGTGCGCCGGGCGTGAGAGCGGCTGCGCGCTCAGCCAATGGGCTCCGCCCGCGCAGCTCTCAGCCAATGAGAGGCGCCTCATTCTGAGCCCGCAGCCAATGAGGGCCGGGGCGGGGCACTTCCGGGCGGTGGTGCAGTGAATACATAGTAGCGAGCGGCGGGAGGGGGGGGGGCGTGGTCTCGGTGCCCATTGCTGCAGGCGGCTCGGCTCGGCTCGGCTCGGCTCGGCTCGGCTCGGCTCGGCTCTGACCCGGCCCTGGCCCGGCCCGGCCCGGCGCCTTGCCCGACCCGACCCGACCCGACCCGACCCGACCCTTCCCGGCCATGCTTTCCGCCCCATGGCCCCAGTGGAGCTCGACGCGCTGACCGTGCGGGAGCAGCTTTTCCATGAACGTGTCCGCGAATGCCTCGTGAGTCTGGGGGAGGGGGTCTCGCTGGGGGTCCCGCTGGGGTTGGGGTCTCTCAGGAGGGGTGGAGCTCCCTGTGCTCCCGGTGGCAGCTCCGGGGCCGTGCCCCACGCCCGGGTCTTATCGCGGTCGCAGCTGCACCGCAGCGCCGTGTGCCCGCAGATAGCGGGGCTCGGCCCGGCCCGGGGAGCCGGGGGTGGATGGGGACCCTCGGACCGATGACAGCCACCCTGTCCCCCCTCCCAAAAGGCAGTTGGGTATGGGAGGGAATGGGGCAGGGGCTGTGGGGTGTGAGGGAGCCAATGGAGCCCTTTTGTGGGGCAGGGCTGCCCTGGACTGGTTCTGAGGTCCTGCAGAACCCAGGCACCAGGGTTCTCCCGTGCCGGTATGGGGTCCCTGGTGTGTGGGAGGACCGGGGCTGCCCGGTTTTGCAGCAGTGTCACAGCTGAGCCAGCACTGTGCCATGCGCCCGTGGCCCCTTCCTCAACCCTACACCGGCATCTTCTCCCAGGGCGCTCAGTGTCAGAGGGGAACCCTCAAAACTGTGGGCTCTGTGCAGGGGAGCAGCCCTGGTCCCAGCTGTGCCAACCGGGGCATCCACTGCGAGGGGTCAGAGGTGTGCAGGGATGGAAGCGTCACAGCCCTGGGATCTCCCAGGGGCCTTTAGGGACAGCCAGAGCCGCGCGTCCCTGCAGTGCTGCACCTCTCCCAGGAACGCCCGGTTCAGCTCCGCCAGCGTGGAGCCCGTGTGACCTTTCAGACTTTCCCAGGCCACGTTGTGGAGCTCTGCCCCGTGGTGACATCAGCTGGGAGCCCTCGCCCTCCGCTGGGCTGCAGCTGGGATGCTGCTGTCTCATGGATCTCCCCATGAAATCCCTGCCTCGCTCCTTTGCTCCAAGTTGTTTGGAGCCCCAAACGTGCAGTGCTGTGTGCTTCCTTCAGCGGGAGCAGGGGGAGGAACAGCCCTCGGGGTGCCCAGAGCTGGGCTGATCTCAGTGCTCTCTGCCACCTACCGGGTGGGTCCTCACCCCCGGGACCCCCAGCTGAGCCCCTAATATGAAGGGCGCCCAGGCAGGAGGGAGGTGTTGGTGGTGCTGGTGCCAAAGCGTTGGGTTCGGGCAACCTTTCCCCCTTCTGCTGAGCACCCGCGGGGATGAAAGGTCGCAGTGTTCCTTGAATGTCGCCTGCTTGGGCTGCGGCTCAGAGCGCCAGCGGGGGCGGGAGGGACAGACAGACACTGCGGTCGGCCTTGGTGCTGGGCTCAAGGCTGTGCCTGCAGCCCTGCTGGGTGCCAGCAGTGCGAGGGCTGCGGGGTCGGGGTGTTCCGTGCAGCCAAGGCTGCTGCTGGTGCTCGCTCTGCACTCTCAGCTCACAGGGGGTGACTTGTGAGCGCCCAGCGGGTGACCCTGGTGCAGCCCATGTGTGTTTATGGGGAGAGAGCAGGGATAGGAAAATAAAATAGGGGGGAGCTGATGGGATCTGGGGACGGCAGCATTCCTTGTGGGGGGGGAGTGCTGCCCTCTGAGGCCGCCGCTGTGCCTGCAGATCTGCGCCCTGCTCTTCGCCAGCCTCTACATCCTCTGCCATTTTGTCATAAGGCACTTCAAGAAGCAGACGGATTTTGCAGCAGGTGGGAGGATTCACTGAGCCAAAGCCCTCGGGCTGCTCCTGCTCTTCTCTGCCCCGATCCCAGTGCGGCTCTGCTCCCTGTGGGGCTTCCTGCTGTGGGGGGGGGGGGGGGAGCAGAGCCCCCACCTCCATCCAGAGCTCTTCTGAGTTCTGCAGCATTGTTTGCAGCAGAGAGAGGGGCTGGGGGAGGCGTCAGAGCGGGGAATGGCAGGGAGCCTTCCTGCTCACTTGTCTCTTGTCCTCTGCAGTGCACGATGATGAGGATGCCGCTGTCAACAGGATTGCGTGAGTTCCTCCCGTCCCTCTTCCCCTCCTTGGCGGATGGGCACCACGTCCTCCTGTCCCCTGGGGGGGGACCTCGAGCTCTGACACCCACGTGGGATCTTGGGCAGGTTGGGGCTGTGCACCTTCACCCTGGCCGTGGCGTTGGGCGCCGTGCTGCTGCTCCCCTTCTCCATCATCAGCAACGAGGTGCTGCTCTCCTTCCCCCACAACTACTACATCCAGTGGCTGAATGGGTCCCTCATCCATGGTGGGTGCGCGGGGCGGTGCTGGGGTGCTGAGCTCCCCCCCATCCTGCACTGGGATCTCACCCCGTTCTGCCTCCCCCAGGCCTCTGGAACCTGGTCTTTCTCTTCTCCAACCTGTCCCTCGTCTTCCTCATGCCCTTTGCGTACTTCTTCACGGAGTCGGAGGGGTTTGCGGGATCCAAGAAGGTACGCGGCCCCACGGCTGCTGCCCCCCTCCCTGTGCCCCCCCAGCTCTGTGCTGATCCCTGTCCCGTAGGGCATCATGGCTCGTGTGTACGAGACGTCCGTGGTGCTGCTGCTGCTGACGCTGCTGGTGCTGGGCATGGTCTGGGTGGCCTCTGCCATCGCTGGCAACGGCGCTGTGAGCCGGCAGTCCCTCTATGGTGGGTGCTGGGGGCGGGGGGGACGTTGGGACAGCATGGGGCTGAATGTGCTGGGAGGAGTCCAGGGGCCCTGCTGTGCCCTGACCCCCCCCTGCTCTCCTCAGACCTCTGGGAATGCTACCTGCCCTACCTCTACTCCTGCATCTCGCTCTTTGGCGTGCTGCTCCTGCTGCGTGAGTGCTGGGAGCTGAGGTGCTGGGGGGGGCTCTGCTGCCACGGGGCAGAGTTGTGGGTTCACCCTCTGCTCCCCCCCTCAGTGTGCACCCCGTTCGGCCTCTCCACCATGTTCACCGTCACCGGGAAGCTGCTGGTGAAGCCCCGGGTGAGCTGTCCCCTCTGTGATCCCGGTTGGGGTCTCTGTGTCCTCAGTGCCGTGGGGCTGCCTGGGTTGTGACATGCATGTCCCTGGTGGCTCCTGCCCGCCCTCAGCTCCTGGAGGACCTGGATGAGCAGCTGAGCTGCACGAGGTTTGAGGAGGCCGCCGTGTCCCGCAGGATCGCATCTGGTGGGTGCCCACAGGATGGCATGGGGCGCCAGGGGGACCTGGGGTGCCACAGGGACCCCACGAGCCCCACGCTGTCCCCACACCGCAGGGAAGGCTTCCTGCTGGCTCAACCTGAACGTGGCACTGCTGCGGGAGCAGCTCCTCAGCATCCGGAGCGAGAGGAAGAAGCTGGGTGAGGAGCTGGGGGGGCACTGGGAGTTTCTCAAGGCCCCAAGTTGTGGGGCAGGGTGGTAATGTGCTCCCTGCAGAGCTGCGGCACCGAGCCTCGCCCTGGCAGAGGAACGTGGGCTACCCGCTGGCCATGCTGGGCCTCCTGGCACTGACGGTGCGTGTCTCCATCCCCCCATGTGCCACAGCCCCCTATGGGTGCCCTAAATCTCCCTTCCTCTTCTCAGGGCGTCTCAGTGCTCATCGTCTGCTTCCACGTCCTGGAGCTGCTGCTGGACGACACCGCGATGCCACGGGGGATGCAGGTGCCCGGGGTGGGGGGAGGATGAAGGGGGTGGGGGTACAGCGAGGAGGAGCCCCATCCGTGGGGCAGAGCCCCTTCCATGTCCCCCCTGCTGCAGGACGCGGCCCTGGGCCAGGTCTCCTTCTCCATCCTCGGTTCCTTCGGAGCTGCGCTGCAGGTTGTCCTCATCTTGTATCCTTCATGTCGGCACTGGGGGCTTCCATCCCCTGCCTCCCCCTCCCCCCCGCTGTCCCCTCTCTGTTCTCTCCTTAACACCCCCACAGTTACCTGATGCTCTCCTCCGTCGTGGGTTTCTACAGCTCCCCTCTCTTCACTCGGCTGCTCCCCGAGAGGCAGGACACCCCCCTGACCAAGGTGAGACCCCCCCCCCCCCTCCACAGAGCCGTGCTGTGGGGCTGAGCGATGGGGCAGCACCTCTTCTCCTCCCCAGATCATCGGGAACTGCGTCTCATTGCTGGTGCTCAGCTCCGCCCTGCCCGTCTTCTCCAGGACGCTGGGTGAGAAGTGGGGCTGCAGTGGGGGTTTGGGGGGTTTGGGGGGGGGGGCACCTCCTGACCCCCCCCTCCTTTGCCCACAGGAATCACTCGCTTCGACCTCCTGGGGGATTTTGGCCGCTTTAATTGGTTGGGGAACTTCTACATCGTCTTCATCTACAACATGGGCTTCGCGGCGCTCACCACCCTCTGCCTGGTGAAGAGGGTGACGTGGGCTGTGCAGCAGGAGCTCATCCGTGCCTTTGGTGAGGGGGGGGACACGCGGGGGGGGGGGGGGGGAGGGGGCTGCACCCCCCACCCCCCCCCTCATGCTCTGCCCCCCACCCAGGTCTGCACAAACTGCCGCTGTCTGTCTCGCGTTCCCGGCCCCAGGGAGAGCATTGCTGAGGCTGTGGGGGTGTCCCCTATGGACCCCCCCCTCTCTCCACGGTGCTCTGTGGGTTTTGGAGCCCTGTCAGAAGAGCTGGGACCACAGGGGGGGGGGGGGGGGCCTCACTCCATTTCCCTCCCCCCCCGACTCCATCTCAGTCTACTGTGCTACTGAGCCACGTCCTCCATACAGACCCCCAGTGGGGCTGTGCTGGCTGCAGCCCCCCCCTTTACACTTTTACATACCTCATTTCCCCCCCCCTGCCCAGCACTGCCCCCCTTTATTTGGTTTTAAATCCCCCCCCGTTTCATTGTGACACTGAATGGAGCCCCCTTTGCCCCCATCCCTGTGTTGTCTTGGGGGGGGGGGGGCACAGGTTGTCCCCCTGCGTCAAGTTGTTCAGGTCTCTGTTACCATGTTTGGAGCAATAAACGAAGCTTCTTTTTTATTTAATTATTGTTTCAATGTATGGAAACCACGGACGGGGTTTTGTTCCACCTCAGGGCCGTGCTGGGAGGGGCTCAGGGCTTTGTGCCATGGAGGGGGGGGGGGTTCCGGCTCCTTCCACCCCCCCAGGGCTCTCTATTAATTTTCTTCCTGGCTGTGGCTGAGCTGCTCTGGGAAGGGCTGAAGGTGAGGGTGATTCCTGAAGCCCGTGGATCCCATGTTTTCCCCCCCCCCCTCCCATGGGTGCTGGGGGGGCACCGGCTGTTGGAAGGGGGGGCTGAGCTGCCCCAAACCCACCTGCCCTTCATAGAGCAATGAGGGCTTCGTTGGGGGCTCACCTCGCCCCAGAGGAACTGCCCAGAGCAGCCCCAGCCCCCCACCCATCCTGCCCGGCCTGGGGCCGTGCCAAGCTCCCCCCCCCCCCCCCCCTTTGGGGGGGGGGGGTTTAAAAAACCCACACCCCCCCCCCCCCCCGGGCCGGGGTTGAGCAGGAAGTGCAGGAAACTGGGTTTATATAGCAGGAAATGAGGCCATCGGTGCCCGCTTTCCCCTCGCTCCCCTCACCCTGGGTTGGCACCGGGGCTGGGGGGGGGGCGCGGGGGGCCGCGTTCTGCCGCCGGGTTTCGCCCCTTCCTGCCCTTCCTCTGGGCACCTTTGGGTGCACCTGAGTGGTGGCTGAGGGTCCCGGGCTTTGGGGGGACGGGGGGGGGGGCGAGTTGGCACGGTTCGGTGCTGGGGGGTGACGTGAACCTGTCGCTGGGTGCCCGTGATCCCGGTCCCGGAGGGGCCGTCCCGGGCAGCGCGGCCCCGTGGGGGCGGCCCCGGGGGATGGGCTGCGGCCGCCGCTCCGAGGCGGAGCCGTGGGGACCCGGAGCCGCTGCCCAGTGCCGGAGCGGAGCGGAGCGGCAGCGGGTGGGGGGCACCCGGCCCGGGGGAATCCCGGAACGGGCAGCGGTACCGGGGATCGGAGCGAGCAGAGGGATCGGGGCAGCACCGGGAAAGGGGTTCGGGTAACGGGGCCGTGCCAAAGGGTCGGGGAGTGTCGGTACCGGAGGTGCAGCGGTGGGATAACGGCGGTACCGGGGAGCGGTGACGGGAAGAGGGGCTCCCTATTGCCGGGATGTGATGAAACGCAATCGGAGCGCTGTGACAGGATAAGGAGAAGGGCATCCCGGTACCGGGAGTGGGGAACGGGGTTGGTGCCGGTACCCTGTCATAGGGTAAGGAAAAAGAGGGTCCCGGTCCCGGTACTGGGAGAGGGGAACCGGCCTGGTATCCGAGCTTAGGGTTAGGATTAGGAGGATTCCGGTACCGGGAGAAGGAAGCGGATAAGGAGAAGGGGGTACCGGTACCGGTGCTGGGAGGGAGGAACGGATCCGGTGCCGGAGCGCAGGGTTCAGGTACAGCGCCGGGGGGTGAGGGTGGAATCGGGTCGCGGAGCCGCTGCCGGTGGGGGGGGCAGCGCCCGGTGCCGATTCCCGGTCCGCATCGGTTCCACGGGACGGCAGCGCGGGGCTCCCGGATCCCACCGAGCGCCGATCCCGGAGCCGTGGGTGTGAAAAGGAAACGCCGCCGGCCCGCCCCTGCGCACCGGGACCCTCCGAAAGCCCCGGGGCCGCCCCGCCGGTGCCATGCCCGCTCCGACCCCCCCGCGCCCCCGGTGACTGAACGAGGGCCGCAGAGCACCGGGATGTCCCGGCGCGGTCCGTTCGCCCTCGCCCTTCTCGCTCTCCTGCTGGCCGCCCCGGTGCTGTGCTGCGGACCGGGTCGGGGCCCGGTGGGGCGGCGGCGGTTCGGACGGCGGCAGCTTTCCCCGCTGCTCTACAAACAGTTCGTGCCCAACGTCCCCGAGCAGACGCTGGGAGCGAGCGGGAGGGCGGAGGGCAAAGTGCTGCGGGGGTCGGAACGCTTCAGGGAGTTGGTGCCCAACTACAACCCCGACATCATCTTCAAGGACGAGGAGAACACGGGGGCGGATCGCCTCATGACGGAGGTGGGGGCTGCGAACGGGGCCGGGGGCGCGGGGCGGCGGAACGGGGGCGGGAGGGGACGCGGCCGAACGGCCCTGGGCAACCCCGACCCACCCCCGGGGGGCGCCGACCCTCCCGGTGCCTCCTCCGTAGAGTTTCCCGGCCTTCCTCCCCCCCCCCTTCGCGTCCCGGTGCCGTCGGTGGAGCAGTAGCGGAGCGCTCCCGGTGGCACTTCGAGGATCCACGCCGGGGTTTAACGGGGAGCGCAACACCGGGGATCCCCGGGAGCCTCAGCTGTCCTCCAACCCCGGGGAGGAACAACGAGGAGGGGGCGGCACCGGGGAGAACCCCCCCGGGGGGGGGGTCCCGGGCTGCGCGTCGCCCCGTCGCGATGCTCGCCGTCGTCATGGAGACGGGCGGCTGCGCCGTCGTCATGGCGACGGGGGATGCTGCGAGTGGTCCAGGCGTTCCCCCGGAGCGGGGCGGAGGGGGCGGTGGGGCCGGGGCGGCGGAGCCCGGTGGGCCGCGGGCACGGAGCCGGACCCGGGGGTGCGGGCGGCTGAAAGAGCCCTTTGTGGCCGTTCCAGCATTCCCGGAGCCTGAGGTCAGCGCCGGGCTGGAAGGAGCCTATTGTCGCCGGGCCGGGCCGGGCCGGGCCGGGCGCATTCCTGCCCCCCCGCCGCATGCCGGGTCCCCCTCCGGGCCGGGCCGCTCCGGGACCGGGCCACGCACTGCCGCCCCCGCGGCTTTGCGCTCCCGGGAGCAGCTTTGTTGCACGGAGGACCGCGGGGCACCGGGGCATCGGGAGGTGCTGCGACCCCACCGGCTGCGGGGGGTGGGAACGGGCTCTGCCCCCTTCGCTGCACATCACCGCAGCCACCCCAGAGCCGTGTGGGACCCCCAAGTTTCGCCCTACGGGACTCTGACGTTGTCCCCCTGCACCGTGGGAGCTGCGCCCGTCCTGCCCAGCCCTGGCACTTGGCCCCATGGTGCCGCTGTGGGGCTGGTTCAGGTCGGCTGCACACCCCCCCCCAGCTCTGCCCTATGCCCCCCCCCCGGGTTGGGTTAATCAGTCACCCCATGGCTGTGGGGAAGGTGACTCCCAGCTCTGTCCCGTGTCCTTTCCACCCCATTGCGCGGCACCAGCGCAGCACCTCACGGTGTGTTAATATTCAACCCGGGGGGGGGGCGGCTCAGCTGTGCCCCTCTGAGGGATGGGGGCACCGTCGGTGACCCCCCCCAACCCGCAGCCCCTCTGCACTGGCTTCTTCCAAACCCCTCACGGGCCATGTGTCCGTCTGTCCTTCCGCATCCCAAGTAGGGCTGGAACGTTTGTAAGGTCCTGCAGAGCGTCGGGGTGCGGGGGGTCCTGCAGAACGGTGCATCTGGGGGTCACACTATCATTTGTCCCCCCCCCAGCGCTGCAAGGAGCGGGTGAACTCTTTGGCCATCGCTGTGATGAACATGTGGCCAGGGGTGAGGCTGCGAGTGACGGAGGGCTGGGATGAGGACGGCCACCACCTCCCCGACTCGCTGCACTACGAGGGCCGGGCGCTGGACATCACCACGTCGGATCGGGATCGCCACAAATACGGGATGCTGGCGCGGCTGGCTGTCGAGGCCGGCTTCGATTGGGTCTACTACGAGTCCAAAGCTCACATCCACGTTTCTGTCAGAGCAGGTATGGGGCTGGAGGGGGGCCGAAGACCCCAGCCGACGGCCCCGCAGCGCCCTCTGCTCCCCTATGGCATCCCACAGCCACGTAGGATGCTCGCAGCCCCTTGGCCCCGGCCCGGCTCCCCCCCGTCTTTCTGGCTGCCAGATTGGCAAAAATCCTATAATCCCACCCCAAAATGTGGCACAACCCCAGCCGCCCTCCAGGCTCAGCTCCCTCGTGGGCGCTGAACACAGTTACAGGTTTTTAGGTGCAGCTCCCACCCTGCGGCCACTCCGGCCAACGGCCCCCATCCGTGCATCCGGCCCAGAAGCGAAAGCGGCCCTAAATGTCACCGTCCCCAGCGGAGGAACAAAAGGCATCAGTGCGGGCGGACAAAAGAGCTCTGCACACAGGAACCCCGAGGGAGGGGGGAGGGGGGGCGTCGGAAAATACCCACTTTGTTCCGGGTCCGGTCGGAGCAGCTCCTCCCGGGGACGCCCCCCACCCTGTAACCACCATTCTCTCCCCTCCCACCCCCCAGATAATTCCTTGGCCATCCGCACCGGCGGCTGCTTCCCCGGCCACGCCACGGTGACGCTGCGGAGCGGTGAGAGCCGGGGTTTGGCCGAGCTTCGTCGGGGCGACTGGGTGCTGGGAGCCGAGCCGGGCGGGCGCCTGGTGCCCACCCAAGTGCTGCTCTTCCTACACCGCGACCTCGGCCAGCGCGCGTCCTTCGTGGCCATCGAGACGGTTTCTCCATCCCAACGGCTGCTGCTCACCCCGTCCCACCTCGTTTTCGCCTCACGAGGGGTCGCCAACGGCTCCGCCGCGTTCCTGCCCGTCTTCGCCCGTCGGCTGCGCCCGGGGGACGCGGTGTTGGCCCGCGGGGACGAAGGGCTGCGTCCCGCAAAGGTGCTGAGGGTGTCGAGGGAGGAAGGGATCGGGGTGTTCGCCCCGCTCACCTCCCACGGAACCCTCCTGGTGAACGGGGTGCTGGCATCCTGCTACGCCGTCCTGGAGAGCCACCGCTGGGCTCACCGCGCCTTCGCTCCGCTGCGGCTCTTCCACGGGCTCCTCTCGCTGCTGCCGGCCCGCCCCGAGCCGGGGAACGGCACGGCGCCCGAGGTGGGCGTGCATTGGTACTCGCGGCTGCTGTACCGCCTGGCACGCGGCGTGCTGGGCCGTGAGGGCGCGGGGGGGGCAGGGACGCCCCCTCCTGGGGACTCGCCGCTGGGCGCTCGGTGCTTGGAGCCTGGAGGGTGAGGAGGGGGTGTGGGGCGCCTCCAGGCCCGCGCTGAGGGCGGGTGTCCCTTGGGGGGGCGTCGCTCACATTGGTGCCCCTCACTGGGTGTCCGCTGGGTGGGAGCCCCTCAGGTGCGGATCCCCACCGGGTGCGTCTCCCCCAGGTATCCCCCTCCGCTCCGCCCCCAGGTGGGCGCCCCTCACTGGGAGACCGCGTATGGGTGTCCCCTGGGTGGGTGGTCCTCAGGTGGACGCTCTTTGAGTGGATCTGGCCGCACATTGAGTGCCCCCCCCCCGGTCCCCCCCCCCACCATGTGGGCACCCCTCGCCCTCAGGCATCTGTCCCCGGGATGGGTGCCGCCAGCTGGGTGATGCTTGGGGAGGCAGTGGGGCAGCACAGGGAGCGCAGCTCAGCTCCACGCCCCGCACAGCGCTGCCAGGTGCCCCGTGCCCCCCTCCCCCCCACTCCCCCCGTATTTATTGCTTTATTAACCACTGTGGAATGGGGCTGGGGTCATCGCACCGAGCCCAAATCCACCCCAGGGGGCGTTCGGTGAGCCCACCCCCACCTGCTGCTGCTGGCACCTTGGGGGGGGAGTGGGGAACCTCTGCCACCCGTGGGGGTCCCCGTCCCCACGTGGCTCAGTGCTGTGAGGGATCCAATCCCGGTGTGTGCCGTGGGCACGGGGGGGGTCCCAGCTCTAACCCACGCTAACCGCTAACCTCCCCCCCCATTAAGAGTTTTATTTTTCTATTTATAAATGATAATATAAATGCGCTCGGCACCGCACGCCTCGCAGCGGGTCGAAGGGGGGGGGAGGTGGAGAAGGACGCGCTTTTAACCACTTCTGTTTAAAAAAAATAATGTTAATATTTAATTCTTTCGGGAAATAAAGAGAATCTACGAGAATCTTGAGGTGCTGTGGGTCGGGATACGGATGGATATTGGGGGGGGCCTGCGGTCGCCCTCCCGCGTGGCTCGTGCAGGTGCGCTGCAACCACGTGGCTCCCCGGTTCTCTCCGTTTTCATGAATGGAGCCGCGGCGGCCAGCGCGCATGCGCCACCTCTTAGCCCCGCCCATCCGCCGCATCTCGGCCAATAGGAGCTGCGGGCGGGCGGTGTTGTGGTCACGTGGTTCTCCCTGTGTAGTGGCGGCGGCACCGCCCCCCCGCGGCGCTGCGCCTTTATAGCGCCGTGTGCTGCGCCCGCCCGCCCCGCTCTGACCCCCACCCACAGCAGAGGGCGCGAGTGGGGGCCGCCCACGGGGCTGGGGGTTCCCTCATCCTGCGGCCGACCGGGGGCTGCATCCCCTTGACGGTGCCGTGGGTGCGGAGGAGCGGCTGTGTTCTCTCTGTAGGGCTCTACCTCCCCCCATCGTGGGGCTGGAAGCAATGGGGGGACCCCAGGCAACCCCCCTCGGAGCGTTATTTTGTGAAGGGGACCCTCGAGGAGTGCTGTGATCCCACAGCGCGGAGCAGAAGTCCCCCGGGCGCCCTCCTTGGGGACAACTGTGACAAGGGGGAGGTGGCCCTACTTCCAGTGGGGGGTTCTGTGCAGCCCCGTTCACCCCCTGTGCACCCGCAGCATCGTGGTGGCTGTGGGGAGATCTGGGGGGAAGGGGGGTGGGTGATATTCTGGAGCTGGAGGGATCCCGGGCTCTGAGCATCCCCTGGCCCTG